ACAGTTTCATTCATTTTTTATTGCGTATATAACCTGTGCCAAGTTCTGTCCTTGGTACCACAGCAAAAGCAAAGAGGAATCAACTCAAGCCTGAGCCCCAAGACTGTCCTGGCGGAATTGAGTTGTACACCTACACAACAGCCCGGTATCTGAAAGACACATGAGACAGAAAGGGAAGAGACAATTTTTTAAAAGCTGTTGTGGCTATTTCTGGGAGATGTCCAATGGAAGAGATGCAGAGTGAAGCCAAGCAGGCTAGAAGCACAGCTGCCATTAATCTGCCTTTCCCTGCCTCAGATCACCCAGCCACCTCTGCCTGCCAGAGCAGCCTCCCTAATGCCAAACTACCTCCCCTCACACAGATGGCAGAGCTAGCCAAAGGCCAGGAGGGGGACTAAGATGTGCACAGTGAGTGGCAGTTGGGGAGTTTCTTTAACTGTGTTTTTGTGTTGGCTTGCTTCAATTCTGGTTGGTAGTAGTGCTGCTTGCTTTGCCCTTGCACACTAACAGCATGATTTTATTGAACGAATATTTACTAATTGTCTCTGTGCAGACCCATGTGTTAAGAGATATGGTAAAGAATCAATATGGATTCTGTCCCTTGGTGTTTTAAAGAACACTTATGCATGGTTAAGCGTTAGTACATAGTTAAACGTGATGAGAGGAGTTGGTGCTACGGATATTTGGACAGGGAAGAGAGAATTTCTGGCTAGGTGTTGAAAGGGAAAATAAGGACAGGCTTTCGAAGAGGTAGCACTTGACTAAGAGACTTCCCTGGACATTATGGAGCCACTGAAGACTTTGGCATTGGGAAGGGAGGTATCGGTTGCTATGGCAGCAGAGAGCAGGCTGGATTGGAGGCAGTGACGCCTGTAGGTGGAGAGACTTGTTAGGACACAGCTGCAAAAGGGCCAAGACACTGCAGCTAGAAGGGAACCCAGGACAGAGAAAAAACAGAGATGTCCCATAATATCTGGCTGGGGTGGATCGGAGGCTGGCAGTGCTCTGAACTGTACAAGTGACTGCAGGAGAAGCAGCAGTTGGCAGGGGGAGATGATGAGTTGTCCGGATGCTCTGAGCGTGACACACCTAGAGAACATCCAGCTGCCAGGAAGTGAGAACGGAGGCCCTGCAGGCCGGAGGAGAGGCCAGGGGTCCTGAGAGAGCCACCGAAAGGGACAGTGGAAACCAGGAAAGGGACTCCTTATAAAAAGAACCCCACAAGTTAGGCATCCATAGAGTTAGTTATAGTGGGATTTTTTTCTTGGAGAGATTTATCACTTTATGTAAATTCCATCTGAGGAGTGGGAATGTGCCTATGGCTTGATATTTGAAGTCCAGGAAAGTGTCTAAAGTCGCTTCTTCGATGATTTCAGGACAATAACTCAATAATCTTTAAATAACACATGGAATTTGAGGTGATGAACTCACTTAGATTTTATATTACAGTTTCCAAGGGTCTCTTTTATACTTTCTCAGACTTGAGTTTTGTTTTTACTTGAATGTTCTAATTCCTCTGACTGTACATTAAAAAACGTTGGAAAACAGAGAAACATAAAAAAAAAAAAACAAGAAAAAAAGAAACACCAATAACTTAAGTACCAGAAACAAATAACTGTTTTGGTATTTTTCTAATATATCTGTGTATACATATGTGTGATAGATATGCACACACATATGTACTCACTACTCACATACCCATACACTTTGTGAAAATGATTGTATAGATAATATATGAACTCATGAATCTTTTTAGTATTATGAATCCCATTGTATATTCTATTTTACATTGCATTATTTTTACATTGACATTACATTTGAACATTTTCCATGTCTTTAAACATGGTTCCAAAGGCTTCAGGTTTATAGACTGCTTAATATTTCATGACATGAGCCTATCCGACACTGAAGCACCCTCCTGTCATTGGACAGTTATGCAAAGTGTGTACTTTGACAGGATCTGGTATGATGACTTCCTTCACATGAGTCTAGAATGACCACTTACTCCTCATCATCATCTTCTCTTCTTTCCACCACAATCCTGACATTGGGATTTTAAGAGGGAAGTCAGTTCACTCCCCAGTAGAAGAGGTACTTGAGGGGTCAGAATAGTTAAGGCAATGGAGAATGAACAGGTTTACCCTCAAACCAACTGTTTCTTATGTCTTCCCTTTGTAATTCTTTTTAAAATCATTTTGTCTCCATCACCACGCCCAACACATTCATACACATGTAAGAGTACATACATGTATACACATACTATAAATCAAGACCTAAACATGGGAAATCTTTCTTAACATCTCTAAATGAGATCCTTTGTCATCATTCTTCAATATACAGACTCTGCCTAAGATAAAAGTCCAGTGTCTCAAAGGCGAGGAATAGCAAGTTAAGTTTCGGCAGCAGGGCCTGCCCCTCGGTGACAGTGTGCTGAAAGTCCAAGGCCATGGCCTGAACCCCAAGAGAGAGCAGAGCCCTGCACAGGCATATGCATGAACAGGACTGGACAGAGCACCATTGTTTTGATATCCTTCTGTTTTCACAGGTGCCATAGAGTCATTTTATGAGTCTTCACCATGACCCATGCCATAGAAAGACAAATATAGCTATAGTTTTGCTGAATCCAGGTTTAAAGCTTCTTGTTTAAACAAAAACGTAATTTCTAAATCAGTCGAAAGCAAAGCCTAACCTCTCAAATTCTATACATTCCCCCCTTTTATTCCCTCATTTTCATTTCTAGCCTGTCTCCTTCAACATTACGGCCTCCGTTTTAAATATCATCAGCTGATAAATCAGTTGGCAAAGAGCTGCAACAGTTCATTCTAATACTGAAGATGACAAATTATAGCTATAAATTTCTTCAGACGAGAAGGCAACGATATGCATTTCTGCAATTAGAAATTGATGTAGGCATACTAGGGTTAGCTAAAATATTACTGCGAAGTCAATTTAATTTATTTCCTAATTAACTACTATTAGATTATGTTCCAAGTTATTAGTAGAACTTTGGAAGGGAGCATTTCATTAAAATACGGTTCTTTAGAAAGAAAATGTCTAAATTATTGGACATAAGATTTATTGTAAAGATATCACACTATTCTAACAGCAGACAGGACTAGCATTTCATATCCAATTTCTTGTCTAGTAGAAGGCAGAAAACAATAGGAAGTTTCTCTAACTTGGAAAAATAGGGAGAAGAGCTTAATTTTAATATTCATTTCATTCTTGTGTTACAGCTGTGAGATTTTGCGTTCCCTCAAAAGGCAACATTCAGTTTCATGAACACTGTTACTTAAGGGTAATACATATACATACACCATGAAAATTGAATCATACAAATGAGTTTTTAAAAAAACTTTATTCATGCAAATAAACATAGAAATTTAGTTATCTAAGATAAATAAGTAAATTAGTACCCCAATTGTTGTCCCTCCTGGGAAATCTATCTTCATAGCTTTGTTTCTCCTTTTCTTTCAAATTTAAATTCTTTCACATATCCTCTTACTTTTCAGTAATTTCTTTAGGAATTACTTCTTTATCACTTCCTCTTTGTTCCTTATAATCTCCATTTCCTCATGATTGCCATTTAGTGATTTTTTTAATCTTTCTGATCCACAGTATAGCCGGTTTACTTTTTCTACCCAGAAGCTTTGCAAGCCATATATTAAAAAAACAAAAATACTACATCATTCCATTTGAACATTTTGCAGGTCTTTAAACAAAAACCTTAATTTACTATTTAATATAAATGTAAACATGTATATTGAATATAGATATAAATATTTATATTAAATATAGATATAACCATTTACATTGAATAGAGATATATAAATATACACTCATCCATCCAGGAATACATATAGAATACATGAGTTCCTTCAGGAATCAAAAGAGGGACTTCCTGTCATTTGTCACTTGCAAAATAAGCACCTGCTGCTCATATCCAATCAAGCTCTGCCCCAGGGTGACCTGTGTATTGAGCTCTGTCTTGCACTCTTGAGGGAGGGTCTATTATACTAGCTCTTTCATCTAAGACCCAGAGTCATATATCTTCGACAAGCCAGGGGACTCGGGAATAAGAAAGTCTTGTGAATTGGAGACTTTAGTTGAATTCAGTGAGGTAGATTAGTGTTGTTTCTTGGAGTCCTGAAGGCCTCTGGGGCCTTCCACACAGCCTATCATATCATTCCTTGTAAATCCATTAGCCGTACAGACTGTCATGTCACTTCTCAAGGCTTCTTTAGTCTCTCTCTAAATCGCACAGGTTTCCCAGGGCACCAGGTATACTAACAACAGTCATGACAATCGCAACCACCACCATAATAGCAGTTAATACTATATCACAGAAAAGATCTTTCGTACTTATTATTTCATTTTAATTGTCCTGCCTTATGTTGGTAGGGATCTTGCTTTTGTTGATAGCTGCCTACTATATTCACTACTTCTCCTCCCCTTTATAAAGTAACCAAGTGGCTACTTTCCAGCCATTACTAAAATCCTTAGGTCTGCCAAGAAGAAGAAACCTCTTTGCTGGGTTATGTAGCACATTATATAGCATTGTCAATTCCCAGGTACATACTCTTCTATATTGCTTTCTCTTTCATCATAAGTGACACAGTTACTGTAATTGCTTGGTGAGCATCTGGAAGTAACATTAATAATGATGATAATAATGACCTCATAGGATGTATAATTTGGGGGTTTAAAGAACATTTACAAGCTTATTGTGTCATAGTTAATGATGAGGTGCCAAGTTTTCTTGCCACCACCCTTTCCCTTGGTATTTCCTGCTTGGATCAGAGAACTAATTATAGTCAACGGTACCCCATTCTAAACCATATGGTAGCATAAAGATATTGAACTGTTTGTGTGTTGTTTTCAAGACAATTTATTAATGTTGTTTTGCATTTGTCTAAAAACTGTGTATAATGTAATTATTTAGTGTTTATTTTATTGTGTGTACCTTCTACTCAGAGGGTTGGCATTATTGTTCCTAACAGTGGCGGATACAAGCAGATCATGCCTTATGACCTCTACCATCCCCTTCCTCGGTACGTAAATCAATCGTCCTGCTGCTAGAACTAGTCAATCCATCTTCTGCTTCCTTCGTATGTGCATAGAGATTTTGTGTTTTTCTGTCAAAATAAAATGGTAGATAGTATGTCTTGCAAGCCATCCTGAGCTCTGCTTTCGAGTAATACTGGCCCGCTCAGACTGAAGCCTGTCATTCAAAAACCATGTGAAGATAGGCTCGCGTCACATTAGAGTGGACACAGTAATTCACTCTGATTAGGTTCAGTGGATGGGTTTATGTTATGTCTTTCTTTCACTCCCTTTGTCCTTTTCTGAATTTCCTCTGCAACTGGACCCTAGTCACTACAGCCGTGTTGCCAACTGCTAAACAAACATTGCCTGGAGTATTACCACAATACCATCCATGTGGAACTCCAGATGTGGTCCTTCTCTGAATAGGGGCTTTAGATATCCTCCTTTTGTTCCAAAGTATGTTAATGAAGTAAAAAAAAAGGCAGGGTTTGGGGATTTTTTTAAATATTCTTATTGTTCAGAAAGTTTGAGGGGACTTTGTTTTTCAAAACATTTTAAAATTCCATGTTCTATGTTGCTTTTTTAAAGCTACAGTAGCTCTGTAAAACTAGAAAAAATAATGAAAGTTTTTTTTAAAAGAACTTGTTCTCTTTATTAATATATTTATAAGAAAACAGGAGAAGCTGAAAAATATGCTAGCTGCCGAGTGTATTATCAGCCACACTGGAAGCAGCTCCCCAGGTAGCAGGAATTAGCATTGGGTTTGAAATAATCACCGTGCCAGGAGAGACCTTTGCTCCATTCTCGGCGATCGTTAGGTCTTCAGGGACTCAGCTGCTTTTTAGAACCCAGGGCTTAAAACAGATTGCAAACATAGTAGTTGAAAATAATCCACAATAATTTGCTCAGTCTCAAACTAAACAAAGCCTGGGATGTAATTTTATTGTGAACTATAAAATGAAGCAAAGTTTGATTGAAAATCTCCAAATACTTAATGAATTAGAGTCCCAGTAGAGCAGTGATGGCGAACCTTTTGAGCTCGCGTGTCAGCATTTTGAAAAACCCTAACTTAACTCTGGTGCTGTGTCACATATAGAAATTTTTTGATCTTTGCAATTTTTTGATCTTTGATCTTTTACAGTAAAACAAAGACTTATATTTTTTATATTAATTTTATATATTTAAATGCCATTTAACAAAGAAAAATCAAACAAAAAAACAAGTTCGCGTGTCACCTCTGACACGCGTGTCACCTCTGACACGTGTGTCATAGGTTCGCCATCACTGCAATAGAGGCATTTAGGGCCATCTCGTCCAGCTCCCCAATGATGTTTCATTCTCCCATTCCTTCCCCCAAATCACACCAATCATATATAGAGACATAGGTTTATACAAATATGCATAGATGTGTATCTAATGCATATGTATTCACACATGTATATACATACCAGTTGTGAAGCTACTTCAACAATACTTTAGTTTTCATATACCAGTGCAAGTTGTCATCCAGTCTCTACTTAAATACTTCCAGTGATTGACAGGGAACTCACTTTTCACCATTTAATGGTAGCAGTGGAGAGGGGCTTCTATATTATATATAATTGTGTGTTTGTTTTTAAATTCTTCCACTTAGTAGTCAGCTCTCTCCCATGTTCCTATGACTATATTGATAAAGATGATAAATGACTTTAGAATGCTACTGATGCATCATTTTGCTTGTTTGATCCAGAATCAATCTTATATAGTAAACTCTTCTTGAAAAAAAAATAATAGAAAGAAAATATGAAAAGATTAATTTAGCTGAGCCAAAACTTCACTTGATTTTAATTTCTTTATCTGTAAAGCAAGACACATGTGTGTGCTTATGTGAAGGCTGTGAATTTCATAATAAAAACAAAGTTGGGTGTCAGAGTGAGTGAGCAACATCAAGTTTATGTTTTCCCTGTAATGGCACTCCTAAATTTCTTGAATATCTATGCTCTCTTTTGTTTATATTTTTTTGGTATGCCTCAAACCTGTCTTAGGTTAAACTTGATTTCTTCTGTATTTGGCTTTCCTCCAAAAGCCTGAAGCCAGCAGTCTCAGTAACAGCTTGAGATGAGCCTCCCTGATGTCCATTTGCACCTGTCCTGTGCACACGTTGGCCTGTCCGTGCATCACAGGGGTAAAAGGCAGTAAGCAAGTGGACTATAGTTCTTATTTCTTGCACTTCTGTTACTGAACTAATTCTAAAGTTAGATATTCTGCTTTATTTATAAAGTCTTAGTAAATGGAAGCGACAATACGTTTTCATTTCATAAGAAGAATTGAGGCTCAGAAAAGTTTCTCAGATGGAAGCAGAAGGCCTCACTTATTGGAATTATTTAAATGGGCTTACGACCACACTGTCAACACAAAACACAATTAGTGACTTTTTACTTTTTTGTTTTTGCTTTCCGTTTTTACTATAACACATATCTGAACAGAATATAAGAATGTAACCTGATAAATTATCCTTCATTCATAATTACTATGTGCAACTTGTTCATGTCATTCTTAATTTTGAGAAGTTCTTAAACCAAACACACTGTGTGTTTAACAATGAAAAGCCAAAGGAGTTAAAATATATGATATATGAAAATTCATTTCTTATTTTTCCAGAAAAAGATTCTTGGAGATGCTTTTCTTTTTCTTTTTTAAATATATTTTTTATTGATTTCAGACAGGAAGGGAGAGGGAGAGAGACAGAAACAGTGATGAGAGCGAATCATTGATCAGTTGTTTCCTGAATTCCCCCTACTGGGGATCAAGCCCACAACCTGGGCATGTGCTCTGATCAGGAATCAAACCATGACCTCCTGATTCATAGATTGAAGCTCAACCATTGAGCCACACAGGCCAGGCTTTTTTTTTTTTTTTTGATCCAAGCACTTATCTGGTCCCTGTATAAAGATACATCTCTCACCTTTTGTTATACATTCTTTAAAGCACCCAGTCATGCTTTGCTTTGAAATTCCTCCTAATACTATTGTTATGCAAGGATTCCTTTGATAATTTTTCCCATATAGAACTATAGTTGCATGCTGTAACCATACTATAAATTCTTAGAATAATATTAGCATCATTTGTCTTTCTGTGACTACTGACATGGAAAAGGATACTTATGACTGTTCATGAAATTACACTCTGGATCAGGCCCCAGTGTTGAGACAGAAATTAATCACTCTCTCTTTAGAAGGGTCAAGTTTAGTGATGTTAAAGTACCAATTAAAACATGTGCTCCTTTTATGGCATCTTAATGTTCTAAGAGATTAAAGTACATTCAATAACATATTCCCACTTCACTGTCAGGTCAAATCCAAGGCGAGCATGTACTTCTATATGCAGCCCCGTTTCAGTCTGAATCGGACCTGTTTTCCACCTCCTGAGGGAAGCTCTCCAGAGAGCTGTGGAGACAAATGAGGACTGGTCTTACCTTTCTGGAAGAGAAACACGCCACAGCGCTGCTTCATTCTCTTGAAAGGGATCAGAAAGTTTCCTAAGGGCTAAACCGAGGACCTCAGTTTCCCCACAACAACATTTTCTTTTGAGGCTCCTGGGGAAATGTGCATAGGAAAATATTGTATTTGGCAACAAGTTTAGGCTGTTCGCAGTGGAGATAATAGTTGTTGCCTAGACTTGAGCAATACAAAGAAAATGTGGAGGAAAATTCTCTGTTAAACACACATTATACAGTCTCCTGCCCAAGAGAAGTCAGGATCACATGTACATGAAATCCTACTTAGAGAATAATTTCTGTCTCCATACTTTACCTGTGCAATATTTTGTGTTTTTTAAAGAAGTTTTTATTTATTTTCAGAGAGAGGAAGGGTGAGGGAGAGAGAGAAACAGGGGTGGGAGAGCAAAACATCGATCTGCTGCCTCCAGATTGACCCATCGGTGCACAGGACGTCACTTCAACCAACTGAGCCACACTAGCCAGGGCCACTTGTGCAATATTTTTAAATTTTACTATTCAAGTGGATTAACTTGGTGATATGTTGAGTTGCTCTCATTAAAATGATCTCTCTCCTAATTCTAAGAGAAATCTTAAAGTTCCTCAGCAGTCCTCGTCAACAAGCAGAATATATGCAAGAAAGACAAGCTCAGTTCCAATGTTTCTATTTTTTTAAATTCTATACTCTCTATATCTACAGGAGGAGAGACAAGGATCAGGCAGATACCTCTCTGCATCTGCTCCCAAATGCTTCAGAGCTATGGGCAGATCTGAAGAATCAATGGGATTCTCTTAAACGTTACAGATAATATTGTTATGTTCTCCATTACTTACCTGTATTTCTAGATTCCAATGCCATTAACCTTCCAACCGAAACCAAACTTCTTCACAATTCCAGGAGTTCTTTATTGGGGGAATGCTAACTGCTAGTATCCCTCAATGGAACAAGTAGGTATGACCTGTACTAGCACGTCTGCTCCTTAGTGTAACGATGGCACAGTTTGGACTTCAGAATTGTGCTGAATCCATGAACAGGGTAATCGCAAAGCTGATGATTGTAGAAGCAAGAGGGGAAAGTGTTCAGTTTACCTTCATCTTTCATGAGCTTCTCGTGTAAAAGAATCCGGAAGCTTAGTAATAAAGTACTGCATTGAAAATAAAAAGTGTCAGCCCAGGTGCAAACTATATAGTGTTAATTGAGTAATCAATTTTAGTCTTGACATAAATATTTAATGATTTAATAACATATATTTCTATATTCAGAATATATATTTATAAACCATAATATACACACATGTAAAACATGTGTATTAAAACTAGAGGAAGAAAGACTGAACAGCTCTCTTTTCTTTAAAAATATATATATTTTTTTATTTCAGAGAGGGAGAGAGAGAGAGAGAAACATCAATGGTGAGAGAGAATCATTGATCGGCTGCCTCCTGCATGCCTCCTACTGTGGATTGTGTTGCTCTCATTAAAACTATATCTCTCTTAATTCTAAGAGAAATCTTAAAGTTCCTCAGCCCTGACCAGGAAGCGAACCATGACCTCCTGGTTCATAGGTTGACGCTCAACCACTGAGCCACGCGGGCCGGGTGAACAGCCCTCTTTTGAGTAAGTTACAGGCAACACAGATATCTCTGTGGACAGCTCTCAAAACAGTAATTTCTTAAATTTGTGTAGGGCTTCGAGGTTTACAGGGCACTGTTGCCAACATTGACTCCTTTTCTCTTACTCATCAGATTTCAGGCAACAGATGGCTTTTAGCTCTCTGGACCATAGCTTCTCAGAACCCGATGGCCCCAATAGGCACTGGGATTGGGGTTGGTTCAGAAAGGTCACTAAGGAGGTTTGGCAATGTGCATGTCTGCCCTGATAACTCCCCTTGCTTCTGTAGGTGGGAGGCCACCCCGTGGACCGCGTGCTCCTCCTCGTGTGGGGGGGGCATCCAGAGCCGGGCAGTTTCCTGTGTGGAGGAGGACATCCAGGGGCATGTCACCTCAGTGGAAGAGTGGAAATGCATGTACACCCCTAAGATGCCCATCGTGCAGCCCTGCAACATTTTTGACTGCCCTAAATGGCTGGCACAGGAGTGGTCTCCGGTAACTGTGCCTTCTTTCTTTGTTCATTAAGAGAATAAGTCCACTCTTCCCTTTCATCACCATGCCCCCACCGGCTACCCTGTGCAGCTCCCTACTTCTCCTCTTGAAGTGTCTAGAAATCTACCAATTTTCTCCTGGAGTGGGCATTCTCCAAAGCCAGCATCACCAAAAATGAGTAAATCTAGATCCCTATCTTCAAGTTTCTTCAAGAAGCCTCTACCACCTCCATGTCCCCTCAAGGACAAGGAGGCACATGTTTGTCAAGAGTAAGTGAGGCCAAATGACTATTTCTGAATCCGTGAAGGAGCTCAGTAGACTTAAAGTTTGGTGTTTTGTTGTGTTTTTCTTTTAAATTTCTCATCCTTTCTCTATATCCAAAAGTGGATTAAAATTAAAGTTATGTCTATCATCCATTGAAAAAAAAAGATGCAATAAAAAACACAAAATAGCTGGAAGAGATGAAGTAGAATAACTAAAACAAATACATTCTAGGTGTTAGAGAAGCTGCTGCAGCAGCTTAAACAAAATTATTTGGATTTGGGGTTTCCTGGCTGCCAGTGCAAAAAGGTCTGAAGTAGCAAGGGAGATAGAAAGATGGGGGGACAAACCCTCGTGCCCTCGGCCACAGAGATGGCAAAAGACTTTTCATTTTAGCTAAGTGGCTTTGTGGCAGCAGATCCCAGCTGTGACGTTTCTCTTTTTCTATACTTGTTCCCAGGCGTATAGACCACTGAGGTGTTGTCTACATCTGGCCATTGAATCAGTTCCTTTAAACACTTTTCTCCATGTCAGTATCATCAATTGGATCAGCCAGGCTGCAACATAAATTAGCGATGATGACAGTTGAAAAACTTTCTATGTCCATGTCGGAGCTAGCATTTCCCATATTTTGGACCTACCAATCGTTATCAAAGGGACTTATTAATATTAAAATGCATTGTTAGTTATCGAAATTGAGCACACTCTCTAGTTTCTTCTCTCCTTTTTGCTGCTTGGTTTGGGACTTTGCGCAAAGTGCGTGTTGAAGGAATGCTGACTGAGTAATCCAAAACGAAGTGATTGCATCTCCAGCCAGCTGCACCCTAAATAGCCCAATAGCATAAAGACCCCATGATGGGTCAGAAGTGGTTTAAGTTCATCAGGAGTCCTTACATACACAAGCAGCCCTTTGAAAAACCTCAGTGGGAAACGGAGAAGAGGAAACAAAGCTTTGCCTGTGAGTCCCCTCTCTCTTGCGTTCTCCTCCTAGTGCACGGTGACGTGTGGCCAGGGACTCCGGTATCGCGTGGTTCTCTGCATCAACCCTCGAGGAATGCACTCCGGAGGCTGTAACTCCAAAACCAAGCCCCACATAAAGGAGGAATGCATCATCCCCACCCCCTGCTATAAACCCAAAGGTAAGTTGGCAGGTGCTCTGTGATCAAGCTTTTTAGTATGTGTACTCGGGTGCTGTTTTAAACTCCTTAGAATATTGTTAAGCATCCCACGTGTTCTTAGTAACTATTCGTTGTAACTTTGACTCTACTAAATGGACTTAACTTTTTTAAAAGATCTTTCCAATAGTCTTGCTTGCAAATTCTTATAAAGCGCTACATATTTATATAATGCTCTCCTGAGTCATAAAGTTGTTTGAAGACTATTGCTGAGGAATATCAGATAGATCTGCATGCCAGGAGATATTATAGAGATATTGTAGAAATATGTGTGGTTTGCTGTCCACTTTGCTGGCTGTTAAAAACAATGCAGTGAATTCTAAGTGTCCATTTTGCTAAGCAGAAAGTACATTGGGAAGCCTCATACCTCAAACAGATGAAACAGAAAGCTGTTCCTTTTTATATTAAAAATCAACACATTATGAATGTAGTGGATTCCAGAAACATAATTTGAAATGAAACATTGAAATAAATTAGCATTTAATAGATACTGCAAATAATTTTTAAAAGTAGGCTTTAGAACAGTTCTACCTAGTGAGCAAGATTACAATTATGCTGGACTGCTCAGATTAGCATGAATATTAATCTGACTTCTCTGCTAATATTGGTAGAGTCTGTGTCAATGAAGTAGAAAATTCCAAAGTCACAAACCATTCAGAAGTAAAGGACTTTTTATTACAAGCTTCCTCCTATTTTTAATATTGAATAGGATTCCCATTTTCTTCTCAATTTGTTTTCTTAAGCCATTAATTTCTCCAAAAATCAGCCACTATATAGCCCTTTATTATACTACAGTTTGCCCTTGGTAGGAATGAGTAGCATTGTGAAATCTAAATTAATGATATAAAAGAAAAATAAAAGCATACTGGAAATCCTGATTAATTTTAACTTATCACCTCTCTCTGTAAGCCTTAGTTTCATCTGTAAAATGGGAATAATAACAGTAGCTCCCTCAGAGACCATATGAAGATTAAATGAGATATAATGCAAGCAGGGCACTTAGGTCACTGCCTGGCATGTAGTAAGTGTTCTATAAATGTTATCTTGACTATCATTAGCATCCTCACATGTGGGAGGAAGTACATCTGACAGGATTCAGTTCAAATAGGCAGTAAAGTACAACGAGCCCACTATTCGTGCCAAGCTGAATGCTTCCTTATGGAAAGACAGGAATGACTTGTGCTGTCAGAGATGGCGTCATTGAGTCAATTAGCTGGGAGACAGGGACTAGTTGTTAAATGATGGTTAAACCCTCAATTTTGCAGACCGCAATTTAATGGACAAAATAACAGTCTGTATGTCGTATGTGAAATTAACAACCTGTTAATTTTTAAATGTTTTAAATCAATATTTGCTTATATTTAAGTTAACAGGTTATTTTTTTGTTGTTATTCACTGTTATTTTTCACAAATTTTAGCTAATAGGCCATATGTTGGGGAAAAAAGCATTGTAGTAATTTCACCAAATGTCAATAAATATTACATATCTACAACTGTAGTCTACGTATTTAAATCCAAGAGTCACTGCTCTTAAACAGTGCTCGGTGAATGATTAGCAAATGATCACACCGCATCTCTTTTGGTAATTGGCTGTGTTGTCTCATGGCATGACTTTCTGCAGCAGTTTTGACACGTGGCAGCTGATGTTCCCATGTGGGATAAGCCATGCCCCTGCCATGTGCATTTGTTTTCTATTACACAAATGCATCTACACAACTAAAAACAGGTAAACTAATTGGCCAATTTTTTAACAGACACATTCAGAAAATCTACTTTGTTACATAATGGGCTTTCAGCTTTCACGGACACCCCCTTGCCCGAATTAGCCTGTTATATCGAGGTTTTCCTGTATATAGGTACCGTATTGCTGAGTCTAAAATGTTAGCCAATCTTTTGGGCTTTGGCAGTTTTATATTTCTCACTCGCTTTGTTTTCTGACCATAAACAATTGCTACACACAGAAGACAAGAAGCGATGCCCTAACTTAAAATAGTCAATTAGTCATTAGCTCTGTCTTTACCAAACCACTTCAGAAAAAGAAAAGCAGTTTGTGGTTAAGTATCAAAAATAAAATCGGGATTTTCACAACTAAGTAGTGAGTCTGGCTCTACTTAAGCATCATTAAAATGCTATATAATTCTATGGTGTATGCCTATATAGACATTTCTTTCATCTTTGCAATTATATGTTATAAAATGGTGATAGAGCTTCACTGGCTTATACTATAAAGCAAATATGCCTATAAATGACCCTCATAAAATATGTCAGGATGGAAATCTTGGCAGTTACTTCTGTCGGAGCAGTTTTAATCTCCCTCTTTCTTTTTCTCCACAATTTCTCCCCAGGAAGTAGTTAGGAAGCTTGTTCTGAATTGTTTGGCCAAAGCTACAGAAATAGGTGAAACAAGTCAATTCATGGGTTATTACCCTTCAGTTGCTCATATTCCAATTGTCAGTGAGCCTTGGGGTGTATAGTGAATGACTCGGATATCTGAAGCAATGGTTTGTAAATATCAGAGTGGCAGTTCTGTTTGGTTTTGACAATATGGCATAGATCACACTCAGACAAAGGCAAAAGAAAAGCAAATTAGAATTTATGAAAGTAACACGGTATAATTTTTTGTACTTTGTTTTAAAAGGTAAATATTGCTCTATCTTTTCAACAGAAAATAGTGAAAAGATACTTGGATGATATATTGAGCTACTGCTCCTAGAGTTATAACTTTCATGAATAAATATATAAAAAAGAAAAGAATTAGAATTTATGAAAGTAACACGGTATAATTTTTTGTACTTTGTTTTAAAAGGTAAATATTGCTCTATCTTTTCAACAGAAAATAGTGAAAAGATACTTGGATGATATATTGAGCTACTGCTCCTAGAGATATAACAC